TTTCGACCTTGTATATATCTTATCACCACCCCCAGCAATGTGGATGACTATTTAACGTGTCAATTCACATGCTGCACTGTCACAGCTCGGTCTCTGCTGAGGGGCTGATAAGACTCGTGTGAGATCGAAGCTGCAGTCAACCCTGGATGAGAACAACTTTTAAGAAAGCAAGGCAATGTGAAATTCAATGAAAACGCCAGCTCCACTCATGTCATTGTGGGAAAATTCTACTACCAGTCCTTCATCACCTTAAACCGAATTGGGTGAATACATCTCATATAACTGATATACTGGTAGTCGCGAAATTCCATTTATATACGAAAAATTAGTAATACTTCAGGCACTCTATAAGACATCTTCTAACGTTTCAGGCGAACTCGGGCTGAGCTTTCGTTCGTTGTGCGACGAACATCGTCAGATCCGGGACTCATACTTCCAAAGGCCTCAAGGTAACACTAAATCAAAAAGAGTTACCCGCTTTTTTTTATATACTGTATATACTCATTGCGAGCAAAATTAAAGATATTTATGGATTTAGAAAGGTTTGCTTAATCTACTTATACTCAAGTGCGTAGTGCATGAATGCATACTAACGTCTGTACTTAAAACCGATCATACCTGAGGCTAATTAGAAAAAAGCTTGACGTCAGGCCCGGGTCGTCAAACCCTAATGACGCAAGAAAAGAAAGGAACAAAAGATGACCGAGTTTGCGTTAGTCCGTTAGTAACCCTGGTTAAATTAATGAGAGGTAAGTCTGTACACGTGAAAGTCAGGTTACGAAACCACCAGTCCGACAGCGTTAGCCTGGGTAACCTTCTAGTAACAATTCGGAGCATAGAGAATAAAAACTCTTGGAAATAGCTCCGTCGTATTTGGCCCTCGGACACCCTCGCTTGTCTTTTTCAAATAACAAAGATATATTTACCTTTATTTCAACTTTTCTATATCAAGACTTTTTACCTTTAACCAAAACTTTCGCCTGACTCGCAGCCCATGACGAGTTGCCAGCTGTAAATTTTGCTTACATATTTGCAGATCATCATTCCACAGACATTCGCCCCAAATTATATACCCTTATCAGCGAATTTTGATGCTTTTTTGCACCTCTTTCACTGCAGTTTGCTTTTCATTATCACACGCGTATCTTTGAATTACAGCATAGACCTTTTTCCTCTTTATGCTTCCACATACACACTGCATCATTATAACGAAAATGCAGCCAATAGACTCTCCTATACAGTTAGAGGGAGACCATACCAGAGTGTAACATTTTACTGGCCTCGCAATAAAACTACCTGATCATCGTGTCACTTGGAGTAAGGGCTGCTCATCACCAGTGCATTCTTCTGGCATAGTAAACATGTTTTCGTATTGGAGTAGAGTTTCGAGACTACCAATAAATCAGTAATATGAGAGGTATTCACCCTATTTTGTCTAAGATGATGAAGGACTGGTAGTAGAATTTTCCCACAATGATGTGAGTAGAGCTGATGTTTCTATTTAATTTCACATTGCCTTGCTTACCCAAAAGCTGTTTTCATCCAGGCTGAAGTGGACTGCAGTTTCGACCTAGCATCGGTCTTATCAACACTCCCAGCGGTAGTCGAACCATGACAGTGCAGAATGGGAGTTTGACACGTTAACCACTCGACCACATTGCCACGAGTACCCTTGAGTCACAGGGCATAAGTGAATTTCAAGAAAGGTCAGACCTTTTTGTTATATCATATTCTTTGGTGGGATTGCCGATGAAGCAAACGTATATTTGCTATAACAATCGACCATGTTACTTATTTTCGTATTGGAGTAGAGTTTCGAGACATGTGCAGGTAACCTCACCCTCTTCAAGTCTACTTCCATGGTGTGGAAATGTGACGCAGTGGTAAAATGTAAATAAAATGCTATGCTACTCAAGCGTGTTTCCATTTTGTGAGCTGATGAAATCCAGATCAGGTCGAAACTAAAGTCCATTCCAGATGAGACTACGCTTTGGGAGGTAAGGCTTAGTCGAATTTAATAATATCGAAATAATTACTCTGATTATTGTGGAAAATTCTCCGTCATTATCATTTGATGAATACTGGCTTATTTAAGATTATAGGTTTAAACTAGCTCATCTGATCTTGTGTACTTCTTTAAGAGACTGATAAAAGCCAACAGTTTAGGGCCCTTCTTTTAAATGAAGAGCCTAGCTCAGTAGGTGATATTGTTCGTGAACAGCTGAAAAATTAAGAGAAGCCGTATAGAGTCATTATAAACTGTAAAGTGTAATTCACTTGTCAGAATGATGACTTTCGGTACAGATTTTACACCCTTTAATACAAATACAAGCTGCAGAGTTCCTTGGTCATCTATATGCAAAATATACCGATTCTTTGTCAAGTCATTTAATTTACATCTCTCCATACAAGCCAATATTCAAATACATTGATCCTCAGAGAAATCACTATACAATAGAATGATAGCTAATCTCTGATACAAAATACAAGCCATTAGATATTCAATCGTACAAATGGGCCAGTGAAAAGGAATATAATTTATTTGTAATAACTAGGTTTCAATGAATGTCCCAAAATATCATTTAAATGCTGACATTTCTTTGCTAGACAAGTGCGTGAGGATAAGTTAAATATGTTGAGCTCATCAGATTAAGATGTTGCAAGTCATTTAATTTGGCTGAGGCGTTCAGGTTGTCGCAATCCTCGAGACACCAAATTTTGGTTCCAGTGGACGGATCCTTACACATCAACAGAGCTTGACAGCATTCGAGTAATAACTTCAAACTAATACCAAGTCAGTGAAATCAAATAGCTCCCAAGAATCATTAAATATGCCCAATTATGATACGTATATAACTCAAGGAGAGAGCACAAAACAGAAAAAATATGACATAGACTTTATGCTCAATATTTTGGTCTCTCTTCATTTTTGGATTCTTTCCACTTACCAAAACTTCAAACAAAATAGGAGTTATAAATGGTTTCACTTATTTTGCATAATTTGTTCATGTTATCACACAATTATAATAGTGATGATTATTTCTAGCGCTTTACAATGGATTTGTTACATTCCAAGCTGTCTTTCCAGGATTGTGTCAGCCTCGCCAGTGTGTTTTGCCATTTTTCAACTCATTAAAGAGACAAATTAAGTCCATCCCTTGACCAAATTTCTCTCATTCTGCCTTGGTGCATTCACCTACCCCATATCCTTGCATCTTTCCCTCTACTGTCACATCTTACAACTAAAATAATTTCACGTATTCCAAAGGTGTGATCATTTAAACAGATTTAGTAAGTTTTATTCGCACTCCCCGCTGGATTCTGAAAGCACATGTCTATTACAGATTTATCCGCATCAGCTCTGTTAAAACACGCGAGCAATCATCTTACAATAACACGTAAAATGTTTATAATAAGCGTTTTTATTGATAAAAACGTAATATATTTACTTGGAACAAATATGAAATAGAGATTTCAGAGAGTTGGGATAAGTTTATTCAACGAATCGCCAACTTTACTTTTCCAACTGAACTGTACATTAACTTGATGTGGGCGAATATAGGTCGTCCAGGACGAAATCTCCCGAGCATAATGATGGTAGAAATCGCTCCATGCAGGCTAGTGGGCAGAGTCAACGATCTTTCAGTCCACCAGAACCGTTGTCCCGTCTATGAAATAAATTCTACAGGTACTGGAATGAACTTAGTTCTGATCAGATGAACATGGCTAACATGATAAATCACTGACCAACTATCATTAGGGCCAATTAATTCCAAAGATCGAGTCAACATTTAGCTTCGGTCGTGTTTGTTAATCAGTGATACGTAAGGTCCATCAGGATACAGTTAGCAGATTGTTTATACGAATAATTTCAGAACAATCATATCTCTCTGGATTACAATGAGTGTATGGATCGACAAAAGATTATGACAATTTATGTCTATTTAGCTTTAGTTGCTATAACAGATCACTCTTTAAGGTCGTAATTGAAATAAAAAATCAACCAATTACACCATAAGCACTTGAGCTATTGGTGCAAGGCAAGGGTATTTCGGCCATAGTGTAGAATAAAATACAATTTAGTGTATGAACGATAGAGCCAGTGTAGCTAAGCTGCGTTCGACATTCGGTACTTCGGACCTAATAATTGACACGATACTTCTTTCCTAGGATACCTTCACATCCTACAAGATCGATTTATTAATCATTCCCTTCAGCAAAGTCAGGTTCTTCCAGCATGGTCGCGAAAGGGAAGATAGCTGACGAGGGTACATTGCTGGGACGAGGACGCGATTCGAGCTCCACGACGCCGGCCATTCGAAGAGCACCTAAAAGATCCTCAAATGAGTGCTCCAAGCCGATGATTCGGGTTCCTCTGGTAAACAGGCTGCAAGGGCCGACTTTTCGTCTAACGTGCTCCTTCACCAACCCGACAGAAGTTGCTTGTGCCCTTGTTACCGCTGTCTCAGGCTTGGTGCTTGCCTTTGCTAGAGATGGGCGCACCAACGTGAGATGCGATGATCGATCTAATGTTGATTGCTTGAATAGACTGGAGTAGATAGGCATTCTAAGGGGTAGGAGGCAGCAAGCGACCAGGGGAACTTGGACGTTGGCCGGTTCGGAGGACAAACAAAGAGAGCATAAAAGCTCGACAGGCAAGGGTCGGGCGAGGTTGAGCCTAGTCAGAGTCTCCTCAGCTACACTGTATATGAGTTGAATTGGCTAGCGTGCATACCAAAAGGATTTAAATGTAGTTAGATTAGGTTATTTTAGTTAAAAAAATTATTTCATGTTAAAAATGGAAATCCTAGTCGCATGTACAATATTTGTATGGGGTTGTAAAAGTGTCGGACTAGTTTTACAGCTATTTTTTGCTTTTATTGTCTTTATTCGTGTTGATTTTAGTGAATATGCTTTTTAATTTAAATGGAATGAGGGTCATATAATTAATTATGTGGTAGAGAAGTATATTATATATTACTATTAATATCTCTAATAAAAGTTCTATCTACAATAGATATTTGTTTTTTTTACTTCTTTTACTTTAGCTGCAGTATTAATCCTTAGGAAATTATCCTCTTCCGTATCTAGTTGTTACTTAGAAAATAAGGTAATATCGTTGAAATTATGTCTTTTGCTTTTTTGTGTTTTTCTTTTCTCCTGCTTATGCTAGGAATTATTCTGAAAATTATTTTGCTCATTAAGATTTGAAGAGAAATCTTTATATTTAGCAAGGAATTTCCTAGAAAAATTAAAATTTTAACCTCGCCTGAGTCTCTTTAGCAACCCCTGTGGTGTTTGAAGCGTGAAGCTGCGAGTTTTAAGGCAAACGCATCATTTCAGTGTTGAATCATACTGCAAGAATGACTTTTAAGATAACACAAGTAAAATCGATTTATATTAAAGCTAAATCAGATTTTAAAGAGTTGCCCCGAAAATACAGTTTAAAGGAAGCGTTATACTCAATTATAAGTAGTATAAATTTGTTCAAAGCTTCTCAAATTATTTTTTTGAATGGAAACTAGGTTTTGAAGGATCCCATAATAGTTTCATGTTTTTTTCGTTTTATTTTGTCTGAAAAGTTGGGTGGGCAGAGTGAAGTTGCCTCACCAGAAACCCAATGGTAATTAGGCCTTTTGGCAGTTTATTTATGCAAATAATTCTTCAGAATGCTGTCCTTTGACTCGGATGCATCCATCGTGAGCTTTCTCTGCCCTGTTAAAGATATCATAAGAGTCACAAACAAATATTTGCAAAAGTTCCCTAAAGCGTTGAAGAGAAGTCCAATTTAAGAATCATTTTAACCCAATTTTTTAACTAAATGAAATGACCAATCTAAGTCATTCATTGTAATAA